TATAGCCTATAGAATGCAGTCTGTACAATACTAGTCACGCAGAAGACAGTCATTTAAATCTTTTATCTGTGATGATATTATCTATGATTCCTCGTTTTCCATATATTCGCCTCATCATGGCCTTATCTATGGTCATTAACCCTGAGAAGGAATTAAAATTTAATTTCATTACATTTGGCTTAATTTATCGAATCTGTACGACTTTTTATGATAAAACGTAAGTTAAGACATTTTGTAATTTCTTTTCAAAAAATGGTACTTGCAGTATATCAATCAATTAGTGCTGTTTTTGCAGTTAAATAATTGACTGATTTTCGGCTGTTTATTATACTATGTTGATTTAGTAGTACACTTAGCCGTATTTAATCTGTTCTTCTGTTTTTTTTAGCACAGTTTTTTAAAAACTTGATCCATGGGTTTCAGAGCATTGGTTGTATCAGCCTTCCTTTACTCAAGGAAATAGCAGTACTTAAAGTCCTAAACGGAAGTGCCTTTTTTCTGTTGAGAACAGAGGAAATATTAAAAGAAGGATTTATAATAACAAATGGGTAAGTAACTGTATCAATTAAAAATAGTAGATGAGATCCCAGAAATGTCAAGGTCTTAGATATTTGTAATGCTCTTTCAATAGTCAAGTTTTAAACATTATTTGAGAAATGTCAAAAAACAGCAGCAGAATTAATACAGAACTTGATTCTTTCTGGCAGTGTGAAAGTTAACATAATAAAAGAGATGGAGCATTTATTTTAAATTTTCTATATATATTAACTTCAGTAAAAGCATAAGAAGTTAAGGAACAAGGAGTATTAAATCTTTCAATTTTGAACATAAGAGATGTTTATTTTGATAAATAACCAATGGTACATAACATACACATCCATTATTTTTCCTTTTACCTGTCTCTAACTTCACCATTAAAACGCCATTATTTCTTTCCAAATTTGTTTTCTTTTTTGAATGTTTGAATTTTAGAACATTATAGCCTGCCGCTAATCAAGGTGAGAATGTATAGTATATACATATATGTAACTTCTATTTATAGTGAAATANGTAAAAATAAATTAACAGAATCAGCAGATTACTACAAAGTTAAATAGTAATTAAAATTTGTTTATTTTTTCAGTGAGGGCAAGTAGATATCACAAATCAGCATCAATATAGCGTATACATCTGAATCATCATCCAAATACAAATTCACTAGATTATTGCTAACAGAAAAAAACATACATTCAATTATTACCTTAATAGTCTGTCCCTTCTTAGTAAATTTGTGAACATCTGGAACAAAAATGAAACCAATTAATTATTGCAAACAGCAATATTAGCTTACAAAATACAGAAAAACCACTTCAGAAACCATATCTTCAACAAATGTTAATTTCAGACAGGGATAACTATTTAGTCATCATTATGTAAATAATTTAAAAATCATATAACAGTGACATGGATACTTACAAATTATAAAGCTTTAGGGCCACAATGTGATGATTTAACAGTCCAACTTATGCTTTCCTATAAATAAAACATTTGTAAATTAAAAGAAAATAATAAGTCACTGTAATATATTTAAAAGAGATACTTATATCAGAAGAAAAAGCAGCCATATATTTTAATCATTATGTTCAGACGGTAATTAATATCATCACTTAATTACAATACTTCTTAAATTTATACAAAATTAACAACTGTTTTCTTACCTAGACTGTAGTTGATAATCTACTCTAGTTCTACTAATCCTTGTCTTTCTCCTGAAATCTAAAAGCAAAGGATTCTTAGAAACCATTAAATTAATAATATCCAAGAACATTTTTTTACAAAATTATTCAGTTTAAAGATTATCAACAAAAACAATTTTCAGACATATGCTTGTCAAATAAATCATCATTATAAAAAAAATTGGCAGTGACTTAGAAATACAGAAGTAAACTTACATGATACTCGATCTAAAGTTGAGGTTATTCGAAACTATCCAACAATTTTCGAAGATGAATGGCACAGTAGGCAACAGCTGCGTGGAAACGAAACAATTTCCCTTTATGGGGCTGCTCTTGAGAAAGGTATACAACATTAAAGTGTACTACAACTATTTACATTATATTAATCGCAAAACACTCATCAGAATTTCCATCTAATCANACTATTTTGTTAAAATTGTATGTATTGCTTAACTTGAATTTATTTAAATTTTTTCCGAAAATACTTTTGGCGTTTATAGCGCCACTACCGCTACATTGTTGATTTGGTCAAAGAGAATTCATAGAGAACAAAAATTTGAAGTAAACATCGATTAAAATTTCTGTGGAAGTAAAGAAGAATACTCCTGAAAAAAATATTATGAATCTTATTCTATGATCTTATTCATCTTACCATTTTGTATTAAAAGCGACGTTTCGTCGCCATTTTTAAAATTTTGCAATTTTATTTTCCGGTGCCTATCTTCATTATATTTCATGTTTTAATTATTTCAAGGTGTAGTTTATTCGTTATTTTTCTCTATTTTAAAAGATTGACTATAAATTAAGAGTGGAAGAATGCTCATTTTGATGTTACTTAAAAGCAAATTTTTATTTCTTGGATGATCTTGTAGTTAATTCAGGTGAGCATACATACTAAAATATATATTTATTTATTTGCCACAATTACATATCTAGTCATATTATATTTATGTGATATTAACTTTAGCATTGTATTATGCACGTTATCCTCTATAGAGCTTACATTATATCTGAATACTCTTCAATAAGATTTCATTTTACAGGAACATTCACTCCAGAAAATAACTATACCTACGGTCTCAAAGAAAGCATGATAGTGCCTTTGTTTCATTTGGAACGGAGACAGTGTAAAGGAAGGATTTATAAAAATGATAGAAGTGGTAAGTACCAGTATCAAAAACAGTAAATGAGGACTCAGAGACCTCAATTTCTTAGACATTTGTTACTTTCACTAGACAACTTGACAACATTTCAGAAATGGCATAATCATAACAACTGAATTAATGTGGAGGTAACATTTCCATTCCATGTGAATGTTACAGATTCGCTTGCTTTGAAAGTGGTAATTAATTACTTTTTCTTACCTATTTCTATAGATTATTCAACAAAAGAGAAGAAATTGCAGTTAATTTTGATGCTACTGAAGTAATATATACTTTTGATGTCTTCACGTTGTAACATCATGGAGTTAATTTTGAACTTTTGAGGAGGAGGCAACTAGAAATTAATTTAGAAAGGACTGAAACAACAGGTTGTCTGCAGTGGTTTTCCTCTTGGATTTAGCTTGCCCATTACACTTGGAGACTTTAAAATACTACTTCCTGCAGTTAATTAAGGTGAGAATGCATGACGTCATATTAGTTGCTCTTTATGTGTCAATAATAACCAATTATTTTTTGTACAGTATAAATTGAGGTTAACGTGTATCTACGGTATTTCATTTTTTTAAAAATCTATTGTTGAGATCATCGACGTATACTTCTATATTATTATATGTCTATGGTTGAGAGTATAAATTGACGTATTATCGTGCGTCTATGACTATCCATATTTATGTCATTATCTATGGTCATGGTGTCAATAACGTTTGTCGCCATTTTATTATGATTCAGCAATTTTATTTGCTTTTTGGTGCTTATTTTTGGGTGTGTTTAATTCTTTCCTTACTTAATAGTGTAATTAATATATTTTTTGTCCATGTCTGCAGATTATCGAACAAATGAGTTCAGTTTGGCTGTACTGAAACGGCCAATGTCTACATGGGTGTTGTCTATTCTGGACTTGGTCTTGATTTGCTATTTTTGTCTTCACCTCGCAACGTATGCAGTTAATTTTCAACCGATAAGTGGAAGCAACTGGAAACTTATTTGAACAACAGACTTTCTGCCGTGGTATTCTGGATTTGGTTTGCTTTTTACACCTGCAAACATTGAGAGGTTGCAGTCTACAGTTAATTAAGGTGAGAAACTTGATAATAGTTAATTTTAATTGCTCTTTATTAATCTATTACTACCGTATCTGTTTCAGATCGACGCTGGAGAAGACAAAGATGACCCCGTAGTTGAAATAGTTCTTTATCTTGCATGCTCCATCTAGTAAAATTCATTAAGTTGATTTTATTCAAATTAATTTTTTATTTTGCATGTTTTTTTGTAGTTATTTGTAGTTAATTTGAATTAGTTTTTATTTTGCATGCTTATTTTTGTTCACTTTATTTGAAGTAATTGTTGATTGTAGATGTTTTTATTTTTTTTGTATGTAGTAGTAGTGTAGTAGTAGAAATAACACGTTTAGTAGTTGTAGTATAGTCTAACGTTGCTTACCTCTTCGCTTNCTGAAAATTTTGTTAAATCTGAAAATTTGTATTAGGAGAGCATAAGTCGCAAAAGGTCTTTTTCAAAGTACCAATTTTTAGCGCGGAAAACGAAAAACAAGACTGCTATATAGTTGATCCCGCGCTAAAAATTGATAGTTTGAAAAAGACCTTTTGCGACTTATGCTCTCCTAATACAATTTTTCAGATTTAACAAAATTTTCAGTTTTGCGTCATATACGAGGGCAGGTCAGAAAGTTATGGAACAACCAAATTTGAAAAAACGATTTTTGATTTTTCCATTACTTTCTGACCAACCCTCGTATCTGTATCAAAACCGAAAATTTTAATAAATTCGGCCATTTGTATTAGGACAGCATAAGTTACATTGGATCTTTTTCCAAATTTTTGATTTTTCAATTACTTTCTGACCAACCCTCGTATTTAGCTAAAAACCGAAAATTTTCATAAATTCCAACATTTGTATTAGGAGAGCATAAGTTGCATTGGATCTTTTTCCAAATTTTTGATTTTTCAATTACTTTCTGACCAACCCTCGTATTTAGCTAAAAACCGAAAATTTTCATAAATTCCAACATTTGTATTAGGAGAGCATAAGTCGCAAACGGTCTTTTTCAAAGTATCAATTTTTAGCGCGGGATCAACCATATCGCAGTCTTGTTTTTCGTTTTTCTACATCGTTCGGTCTTGAAACGTTTAATTGTACTATTACTATCATAGTTTATGTTCATTTCCAGTATATTATAATTTAATTTTGCCAAATTTTATTACAATTTTTTCGTTTTTTTTGGACAAAATAGACCCATGATATAAATTAGATCTCGCTTGCTTTTGTTTTACGAAAATATGATTATTTATGGGTTTTATAGGTTTTTATTAATGAAGGTCCAACCATATTTAAGAATATAAATCGTACTTTAGCTGAAATTTATTGATTATTTGTAAATCTGTAATATAGTGGAAACCTGTAAACTTTATTTAAGAATATTTGACTATCGGTCGTGAGATGTCGCTTCAGGTAGTGAGATACGAAGGATATCCTATAATTCTTTAACTGAAATATCAGGGATAATTGGAAAGTTTTAACAGAAAATATTTAAATCATCTTTTCGTTATTAAGTAAAATTTTCGAAGGGGTAGGTGGAATTAGGAAAGAAAAAACAGAATAATTATTGTACGGAAGCTGTGTAATTTCTTCATCGTTTTTTTATGACTGATAAAATAAAATGTGTTCAATAATACATTTACCGTTGCAAATTAATAGCATTTATAATAACAACAAAGTATGAAGACCAACAGATAGGTATTTTAAATAAAAATACATTAATACAGACAAAATATTTAAGGAACAACACA